CACGTGTGAATGGGCACATAGGGGACTGGAACTTTGGGGCTGGCTATAGAAAGGTTTTTGGGAAGCTGTAGGTGCTTGCCAGCATTCTGCAAATGTCTTGTGGTCTGGTTTGTCTGCTGGACTGCTGATATCAATCCACTGTGTGAAGTTCACCGATTGCCAGATAACTTGTCATTAATAAATCAATAAACCACTTTGATCCTGATCTGAGTCAAAGTTTGAGAGCTGAGCAAGTCTTCACTGAACATGCAGTAGGGAAATTTCATGTTTGTAAACAATATTTCAACATGCAGACTCTCCTCAAATATTTCAGTACTATTTGAAACCAAACTGCTGAATTTGGGGAGCTGCTTCCCAAATGATTAAATCTTCTACAGTCAAAACATAAGAGTATGAGAAACTAAGGAAATTAAAAGTACTTGATATGCTATGAGAGTGCAGGAGAGAATGAAACAAAAGTGCCTCACTTGGGTGTAAAAAGAAAAACACAGCTAAAGCTTTTGGGCCCTCAAACAGGAACTGACAAGAAAGATGGTTCAGTGACTCATTCCAAAGAGTGTATCCCCAAAACCTTACTGAAAATACTAATAGTTAAATACAGCAGTTTAAATTCATATAAGACAAACATGGCATGATAGAAATGCACATATATAGAAATAAAATATTAAAATTCCAGGTCATTAAGCTTTCTAATAGAAGAAGAAGCTGTAGCAAGTGGCCAGCCCATTACAGCTAAATCTTGCCAGGCTTCAGGCGCTACACTTTGTGGAAGGGCATCCTTGCATCTGCAAGTCAGGACCTCAGCAGGAATAAGTGAGGTGCCCACACAAAATATCTCCTTTTTACTACTGGATCTCTAACATTAAGTTACTTAACTGCATATAGGCGAGGGCTTGTCCCTAATTTGCCACCCAGTTTCTTGGGAGACTGGATCCGCTAGATTCGTTCTGTTACCCTGCAGTGATTACAACCAGTATCATCTTGTTTTGTGGTCAATAGTAGTTCTTGAGGTGACAAATTAATTATTTCTGTAGTTCCTTGCCTCCAGCCACATCCTTTGATTTGTCTCTAACATCTATTTTTGGCCTGTTTTAAATCTTAATAAATCTCCACAGAAATCATGCATTCTTTACACAAAGTTGCTCTCTGTTTTTGAGGTTAGAAGCACTCAGTATGCACACAGTATATAGTGTTCTGTGACTGGGGCTCACATACAATGCCAGAAAGTGCCCAGATTTGCAAGAAAATAATAATAAGGAACAGAGAAAAATAAAGCTATTTTTTTCAGAGCTACCCTGGAGAATAGAACTGTAACAAAACTTCTGTATAGGCAGAGTAACAGAAGGATGTCAGAACCATTCAAATTCAAAGAAAAATGTACTTTCTACAGGAAAGAATTAAAGCCACACATCTTTAATTTTTTTAGGTGTCTGCAGAGCGTCCACAGTCTCAGGATGTGGTCTCCTATGACTTCAATTACATCAGCAGCACTTTCACAAGTGCAAATGAGCAGTGGCCGCTTGTAAAATAAATGGTCTGGCCCATTATTTAGGATTATTTAGGAAGGTGATTTAACTACATTAAACCAGAGACTAAAACTGGTAACAGAAGTATAAGGCTAACAGAGTCTAGCAGTTCACAAGACCAAGCAGGTACTGCTCTAATTAATTAATGTTCAGCCAGGATTCAGAGTTGCTTTGAAGACAGCAGGCACTGACATTATTCGTTTTGGCACTGTGAAGACATGCGGAATGATGGAACAATCACAACCACGATTCAGGCACTACCAAAGTTATCTGTTATCTCTCTAGTCCTTCAGCTTTTGTCTCTCAGCAGGAGATAAAGGATTCTTTATGTAGGAATTAAAGCTGCTACCGATAACTGATGGGACTCCCTGGTGCTGCAACAAACCAGTTATCTATTCTCTGTGAATTTCTCCTCTCTGGTGAATGTTACACAAGGTTATTTGGCACAGTTTATTTAGGAAAAAAAAAAAAAAAAAAGTCAACCACCACCCACTCACCAAAACCTACACCAACACAATCATTCACTGCATAAAAATATTGAGCTATTAGGTTTCACATTTTGACCTAAAATCAAAGGACATGGGGCTGTAACCTAAGCACCCTTTTATTTCTTGTTGTTGGTCTTTTTTTTTTTTTTCAGAAGGCTTTCTCTTAAACACTTTTGCTTTCCTTCTGTGAAAGCCAAGTAATTGCAGCTTAGCAGCATTATTGTTTCACTGCAATCGCAAATACCAAACCAACCACAATAGATAAGGCAACTAAAATGATTACAAGACTCTGCATCTTCCACAGATTTGTCTAATGACATAATCCAAGTATGGCTACAGCAGAATTGGAGTCCACCCATTACTACAGAGGTGAAACTTAAGATGTGTTTAAGAAGTCAAACAGGAGATCAAGAATGCACAATATTATTAGCAGACCTAGGTAACATGCCTGGATATCAAACTCTGTTGATGACCTTTTAAACATTAATTTGGCTCATCAAACCTTTAAAGAAAATACCAAATTTAGGTTCATGCCATAATCTTACATATACAGTCCACAGTTATATTGCTATTTGCTTTCCTCAGTCCCACAGTTCACTGGAATAATTCTCCTTTAAGCCACTCTTTTTCTTGCAGATTTGAAGAAAAGACTGAAAACATAGAGAACACCAGGCAGAAAAACATAAGATACAAACATATAATTGGAATTTAGACCAAGCAGTAAACACAATGCAGCAAGTCTTACAGATACTTCAGCTGAATCCATTCTTTCCATATATAAACAGAATAGATTAGGGACTCTCATGTAAAGGATTTGGGCTCCATTCTCACTTCCTGCAAAGAGAGAGAATACAGCACAGTGAATCAAATACTCACAGATATTTCTCTGAGTTCATGTGCAGTCACTGCAGAAAGATGATAGAACAACTTTTTCTTTTGTGATTCATGACTTAGAAAATTTTGCTCTGCTTAGATCTGCTTATAAACCAAGCCTTTGATACGTGACATGTGGTTTGGTTATGCTCTGCTATGTATATAATCTGATAACTTCCTCCATAAGAAGAGTCAAGGTTCTCTCTTTTCTGTGAGTTCTAATACAACATATAATAAACTCCAGTCTGACTCAAAAATACTTGCTTTATTTCTGCAGCACTTCCCATACATGGAAAGGTACACATACCTGTAGGGGTCCAGCTCAGAATTACAGGAGCAGTTAAGAGTTACTCTGGGAACATCTTGTATTTTACACACAGTGCATATATTTGCCTTTGTCTTGTTTTCAAAAGCTAAGACCAGTGTTCTCAGCACTCCTCAACTTATCATTATTTGGTCAGTTGCTCTCAGGGAAGTCAGTCTTGATATGGGATTTCAAAAGAAGGGGGAAAAAATGAACAGCTTTAAAGCCAGTCAGGAGGCAAGGTCATGCTCTGAGAAGCACGGATAAAAGTAACAAAGTCAGGGTCACCAGCTTTTCACTATCACAAGAAAATAACAACAGTGAGGTCCATGAAGGGCTTTGATGCTGAGGCCAAACATGATATGCAAGAGCAGAGAAAGGGAGCAAGAGTCAGGGAACCAGACAAGGGAATGGTCCAGAGTGCAATGTACTACAGTCAGAAGATGGAAGGCAGGAAAAGGTGGGTCACCAAGGTCAAGCACAGACTTAAACCTGCTCCATTACAGACACCAGTTTAAAATCTGTATCAGCAGGTGGGATTTTTAAAGGGTGGCTTAACACCTTTTTGCAGGTTAAAGCAAAACATTCAACATCTGTCTGCTAAAAATTGTACTCAGGTTGCATTGCCCTGCCTGGCTCACACATCTTTGCAGTGATGGGCCAAAGGGAATAACTCTGCTAGGACACAGGATTTGTGCATGACTGAGGATACAATCAGCATTATGATTTTTGTTTGCAAGGAGATGAAATTTGTTGTTGGACAGTGGTTGTCCTAATGTCACCTGAACAGTTCTTCTACCCCCAAATTTCCCACTGCACATTTCCTACCTAACACTGAGGATATTTTGCTTTCACATGAGGCCTTGTAAACTTATGGCCCAGAATGTACTGATGCAGACAAAGAGAAAAAGGGCAGCAGACAAAGAGCAGAGCATGTGCTGACATAAAGCCGTGCAGAGGAGTTGAAAATGGAGTATACATGTATGATACACTTGTTTTTAAAATTGCCAGTGTGCAATGGCTAGCACGTAAAAAAAAGAGCACCAATTTGTTGCTTTATTGTCTGCAAAATCCTATCACAGTGATGGCGTGGCTTTGTAATAGCTCTCCAAGAGAGTTGAATTTCATGGATTTTACAGACAAGGTTCATCCTGCAGAAAAAATGCTTGAGAGAGGCTCTCATTAATGTTTATAAATAACTGAAGGGCAGCAGTCAAATGGCTGGGGCGGACTCTTTTGGGTGGTGAGCAACAACAGAACAAGGAGTAACGGGCAGAAACTGGAACACAGACAATTCCCTACTAATACAAGTGCTTCTTTACGATAGGGATGGCATAGCACTGAAACAGGCTGCCAGAAACGTTGTGGATTCTCCTCTGGAGGTATTCAAAGCCTCCTGGACACTCCCATGCTGCCGCTGCAGGGAACCTGCTTTAGCAGGGCGGTTGGACTACATGGTCCATTTCAACCCCCCCAGCTGTGTAATTCTGTGACAACGGCAGCTTTACGGGCGTGCAGGTGCCTCTCTGTCCCGCTCCCATTATACGAATTTTCCCCCTTTCCCAGTCCCTCCCCTGCCCCTCCTTTGTGCCGCTTCCAGGCACTCCCAGTACTCCGTTCGGAAGCACCGCGGGCCCAGAGAGCGACCCACGCGCAGCCACCACAACGTCCCGCCAGGCGGGGCCATCCCCGCTCCTGCAGCGCCTCAGCGGCCCCGCCCCTCGCTCCCCTCCGCACAAGGACGGCGCCCTCGCTCGGTGGCCTCAGCCAGCCCAATCCGGCACGGCGCGGCGCTCGGGGCGGGCCCGGCGCTGGTGGCAGTTCCGGCGGAAGGAAGACAGCGGGGCCGTGCCGCGGCGTGGGCTCGCGATGGTGCAGGACCCGCGGGGACAGCTGGTGGCCGAGCTGCTGCTGCGGGCCGGGGTGGCGAATGGCATCGTGTGCCTCTGCTCCCGCGCCTTCGTGGAGTGAGTGGCCTTGGGTGGCGGGATGGGGGGCTGAGCGTTTCTCCAACGGGCTTTGTAGTGCTGCCGTTCTTTGTTCGGTGACCGTCAGCATCGGTGTTTGTTTTTTACAGGGATCGGAAGTTATATAAGCTGGGATTGAAAGGATTTTATATCCGAGATGACGATGAGAGTACGGGTAAGGTAATTGTACAGTATGGCGCGGAGCGAGCTGTGCGCGGGTATTGCGGTGCGGCAGGACTGCATCGCTTTCACCTGGGTCTGCTTCTAACTTTCCTATGGCGCTTGTCGTTATGCGCGCGTTTGGTGGTGCTTAAACAATTGCTAACTGTGCAGGCAGGGATTCCAATTAGTGAGATGGCTGGGGAGTGCAGTAGGGAAAAGAGAGAGCGTTGGGCTCTGCTGCTCAGCTACAGCCAAAATACAGCTGTGTTATCAGTGCAGCCACCAGTCCAAACTCAGTGCTGTCCAGACTGCTGGGAAGGGAGTTAACTGCGACCCTGTCTGATGTTTGGGCTGTTGAAGCCTTATTTTGATTTCTGCTGTTGTCTTGCATTCCTGTTCTCTAGTTGTTTTTACTCCCTCTTTTTGCTTAAGAAGTATGTGTGTAAAAAGAGCCTGAGAGCAGAGCCGTTCTGCAACTAAGGCCTGATGTGAAAATGTATCCCTGCTGCTTTTGTAGGGTGGTAAATGCAGCATGGTCCTGAAAAAGATAAATTAATACAGCTAAAATAATGACGTAGTTAAAAAGTTTAGAATGTATGGAAGTGTTAATATTGGGTTATTTTTAAAAGTGTGTATATATATAATGTATAAAACTTTGTACTGATGTTAACGTTGTTTCATTGAACTAGTGCAAAAAAAATGAAAAATATCTATTAGTAGCTTTCAGGTACTTGTAATCTTTAAATGGGAAAGGAAGCTGAAGAAGTGTTTGTTACAGGATTTGCATTGAATTATAGGGGTGTTACAAGAAAGAAGGGGACGGACGCTTTATCTGGTGATAGCACATGGGGAAATGGTTTCAAACTGAAACAGAGGAGGATTAGGTTGGCTATAAGGAATTCTTTCGCTGTGGGGATGCTGAGGCACTGGAGCAGGTTGTCCAGAGATGTGGTGGGTGCCCTGTACTTTGGACACTCGAGGTCAAGCTGGAGGGGGCTCTGAGCTACCTGATGTAGCTGTAGGTGTCCCTGTTCATTGCAGGGGAGTTGGGCTAGGTGACTTTTAAAGGTCTCTGATTACAGAATCTGGAAGATTGTATTCACTCGATGTCATTTGCTCACAGGAGAGGAACAAGCATCTGAGCAGGAGAACAGTTGTCCCAGTGTGACATTGGGAGTGGATGCTGATTGTGCTCTGGACCTGGAAGAAACTGAACTAGACTCGGAGGCCGAGCTTATGAAGAGCATGGGGTTACCTCTTCACTTTGGTGGGCACTCAGCTCACAGGGACTTTGTGGTAAAAATCACTGTGCTTTATTTTTTCTGTTTACTTCCTGTTCCAGAATGTAGGGGCATGCCTACTCCTTAGTTGCTTTTGAGACTGCAGTTTGTGGAAATGTATCTGAGTGGCCTCATTTTCCAGCGTTATGATACATCATGGTCCATGCATTCAGATGCATTGCTGTTGCCTGTGCTGCCCGTTTTTTTTGCTGATTGAAGGGTTTCCTTTTCCAGGGCTGTCAGTTTGGCACTTCACCTGAACAGAAGAGTGGCTATTTATTTAACAGCTTAAAAATGACTGGGATAAAAGGAAGTGGGGAACCAGAAAATTCTGTACAAAATGAGTGTATGTGAAAAGAGGAATGAGTTACTTTGGGCTTGATTGGAAAAGGCAAATGAGTGGAAAACTGAGTTGAACTGGAAAAATACATTGTTCTCTGTCATGCAGCATCTTCTGTGCTGTGACAATTCTGGCTTCTTGGTCCGTGCATTCTGTAAAAGTTGCTTGCTGTTTGGGCTTGGCAGGGTCAGGCTGTGCTTTATGCTTCCATGTCTGTATTGCTCCTGCTGCTAGGAGGAGCTGGTTTAAAGCACTAATGCTCATGCTGTGCTGCAGGACAACTAAGATACTGCAAACTGAGCATGTATCTGCTTTAACTGTCTAGGTGTAGGTAGTAATAGAGAAAGTTAGTTCTGTGCATTCCCCTTGTAGCTGATCAAGCCAGGCTGTTCCAAAGCACAGGGCTTGAGCTTGGGTGCTCTGCTTCCTGCAGCAAGCAGCTGGGCTTTATGGATAGGCTGAAGTTGTGTGTCAGTGGGGAAAAGGTAGTGAGATATTCAGTGCCTGCTTCACAGAATACAGACCTCCCTAGAGGTGAGAGTGCCTTTGTGCAGAGCACTCTGTGATTCTAGCCTGATTAATTTCTCAGTAAATAGGAGGAGCTTGTAAATTGTTTTACATGATGACATGTAAATAGACCTTCCAGACATCAGAGTTGAAGCTCAGAGTATGCGCGTATGATTTGTGCAGCTATATAGTAGTAGTGCAAATAAGTCAAGTGAGAAGATAATGTTTTCTTCTAGATTACTGCTAAGTGTTGTGCTTTGCACCATATACATTAAGGGGATGTGAGAAGTGTGAGTGAAAGTTTAATGCCCATTCTCTTAAGCCAGCTCCTTGACAGGTTGCCTTATGCATTTGTCAGTGCAACAAAACCAGGGGTTGCAGCCATGTGAGTTGTATTCCCTCACCACCACCACACTTTTACATGTGAAATTTAATTGGACAGTTTATTCAGAAACTTGGCACATTTGTCTTATATAGCGTTTTGTTGCTCAGGGTGTTTTGCTTAGAGCACAGGAAAAGATTTTTGTCTTCTGTTTCATTGGACAGCTGTGGTAGTTTCAGTACATGGTAACAAATGAAATGGATTAATTGCAGAAAGAGACACCTGGTTGGATAGGAATCTTTTTCCTTTGTTTCTCTGAACTCTCTCAGAAATCACTGTGGGATGGAAAGAATATTTCATCAGTCATCTTTAGCCAGGCATAAATTGGTTCTGTAAGCAAGATTTACAGAACTTACAAATAAAAGCATATGATGTGCTAACTACCCTAATAAATCACTTGAGCAGTGTTTGCTGGACAGGCAGGTGTCAGGCAATGGTAAGGGTTCACCTCTGTGGCACCCCAAAGAAGTCTTTGGTGTTATTGAGTGATACTCGAGCTAAACTCAGTGACTCCACAGTTCCTGACTAATCTCCCCATAGCATTTCGTGGTGTTTCACACTGATGTCTTTCCTCTTAAATCACTGAACAATTATGAACAAATTTCCCTTCCCAACTGGAATTCTGCCTTTTCTTGGTCCTTTTTGCAGATATGCTCACAGCTGTTATTCACAGCCTTCTTAGAAGTCTTTGGCAAAATGACAGGGTCCTATCAGACCTGTATAACCCTTGGCCCTTTTTGTGGGGAGAAAGCTGACAGTGGGGTTGCAGAGTGAGAGAGGGTCACAACAAGTAGAAATGTAATTACAGGGAGGGAAAGAAAGGACTGCCTGCATGTTGTGGATTCCTGAATATATTTATCCTTTATGTTTTAGGCAAAAGAAAAATATAGAAAGAGAAGTAACATGAAGTTTATGAAAAAGAAAAAGAAGAAGAGAAAAGAATTACAGCAAATACAACAGGATAAAATGGAGCAGGGATGCCAGGATCACACTTGTGCTGATCATAAGCATCCTATCTCAGATGAGCCAGCCTCAGCTACAGAGCAAAGTGAAAAAAACAGCAAATCTCAGACTGCAGGTGAAGGGAACTGTGGAAGTTCAGAGAGCCTTGTTAATGAGGCCTTACCCATTGAACAGAAATGGGAGAAGTACTGGAACGAGTATGGAGAGGGCCTTCTTTGGCAAAGCTGGCTGGAGAAGCATAAAGATGTCTCATCACCTGAAGCCATGACAGCATCTGAGCCTTGGAACAGTCCAGACACCAAGGAGGAGTGGGAGCAGCATTACAGTGAACTGTACTGGTATTACTGGGAACAGTTTCAGTACTGGACAAATCAGGGGTGGACTATGGAGAGCTCACACACTGACAGTGTTCAGCTGAATGGGGTTACGCAGGAGACTGATCTTTTGCAAGAAATGGACCTGGTCAGCCCAGAGGCTGAAGGCAGCAAAGTGCTGATCTTGGAGCTGTCTCCTTCTCACACCAGAAGTGAGGAAACACTCACTTCAGGTGCTGAACCCCATCATGAGATAATCTCTGGGATTTGTAATTTAAACCTAAATTTGGACGCATTGGAGCAGAGCAGTGCACCTCTAACAGTAACTAATGAAGAGCACAGTTCATGTAACAGTGGAAACCAGAGTCCCTGTGTTTCAAGCCAAAAGGAACCATGTGATGGAGGAACCAGGAAAAGGAGAGCATCTTGTGAAAACAGAAGTATTAACCAGTCAGGTAATACACAATTAGCTAACATTAATTCTACTGCTATAACTCTAAGTGGTTATGTATAAAAACCAAGACCCTATCTTTATCACATTGTTTTTAAACATAGACTGAGTATTTTGTGGAAAGATAGCATAATTCCTTTTTCTTCCCTCTGATTCTCTGGAACATCTCTCCCGTTTAGGTTGTATATTGAATGCATTCATCTGCAAGTGATTTTAACACGATATCACAATATACACTTTATACATCTCTCAAATGTACCACGAAAAGTGATAAAAGGGCACAGTTGGTGCTTTACTGGTTTATTAATTAGCTTTAGTATTGCAGCTGTGTCATGCAGCCTGTGTTTCTTTTTTCACTGGTAGTCTAAAATTAATGAAAACTCAGTTTGATGTTTTCATGAATCTGACAAATGTAAGGACAGGATTTTTTAGAAATATCTCCAAAAAAGCATTTTTGCAGTTTGGTTTTGTTTGTGGTTCTCTTTTGTTCTTCTATTTAATAATGTAATACTTAAAATTAAACTTTTCTCCTGCTTATGGTATTATTGTAGACCAGCTGTCTTCCGGAGGTCCTTTTCAGCATTACAGTGTCAATTAGGTAGTGAGCTGCAGTTATCTTTAGAACCCCAAATTAGTGTGCCCACATCAAGTCAAAATGCCAGTTCACAAAGGAGTGAGTATGTTGAGAGGCAGTGTTGTGCCTTATGGTGGTGGAAGGGCTTTTATGAAGGAGATAAAAAAAAAAAAAAACCTGGATGTTTTTTTTGCTACCAGTTCTGTGTGCAGGGAAAGGAGGTGGCTATCCTGTTTGACCACAGATTTTTCCTGCCAGAATTGCCAGTAATTGACTGTGTGACAGCTTTCCTGGCAGATTTATAGTTTCTCCTGTTGAAGATGAAAGACGATATGAAATATGAGTGAAGAGTCAGCAGATTGGGAATTCAGTTTGATGAGGAAACCTCTGAGTGCATTGCTTGTGACCTCTTAAGGAAAGAAGAAGCAGGTGTGCCCCCATATTGAGCTTACAGTAGAGTTCAAAAGAGAGGGATGAGAGGAAAATCTTGCACTGGAGACAAAGCTTAAGAAGAAAGAAGAAACTGTTTGGAATTTGTATCCCACAAGCATTTTATTTTTCTTGGAGAGCTGAGTTATTTTGAAATTAGTCCTGCTTAAAATTAACGCTGTAGTGTAACTAATACTGGAAGCTTGTGTTGGCACGTTGTCCCCCAAAGACAGTTGAAGAAATGTGTGGTTTGACACCTTTGCCTTATTTATCAGATAAGGATATGTGAAACAACTGAGCTGTTGCTGCAGATGCACTTTAAGGATGGGAAGTTCTGAAATTTAACATGTAAAAAGATTTAAAATAAGTTTATCTTTTTAGGTTCCCAGGAGTCAGGTAACTCATGTAGCTCAAATGACAAAGAACAGTTGCTGCTTTGTGATCAAAATGAAGATGAAGGAGAAGAGCCCCCTGAAAACAGGAGTGCCAAAGTCAAGAGAAGGTAAGTAGTGAAATCTTTTTCTTTTTTCCTCAAATCGTTATTTATAACATCTGTTTGAGATTGAGTTAAAAGATTTTCACCCACAGGGTGGTGTCACATTTGAACAGGTTGCCCAAGGAGGTTGTGGATGCCCCATACCTGGAGGCATTCAAGGCCAGGCTGGATGTGGCTCTGGGCAGCCTGGTCTGGTGGTTGGTGACCCTGCACATAGCAGGGGGTTGAAACTAGGTGATCATTGTGGTCCTTTTCAACCCAGGCCATTCTGTGATTCTATGATAGTCTTCCATTGCTGCCTATCACTTTACCTGGCCGTAAGTGAAGGGTATGTCTTTGCTTTATGAAGAATATATGGTCTGGATGCCAAGATGTGCAAGGTGACAATACCTTGTGCCACTGAAATATATGAGATTATTAAATTGGAAGTGATTACTTGTTTATTCTGGTTTAGTTAGTGTAAAATGTAGGAGATATTGCTTAATAACTTGTATTGCTTAGCTAATGTGTTGCTAATAAAGTGCTCAGTACTGTGACATTCACAGAATAGTTAATCTCTGCCTTGTCACAGTCTTTTTCCTTCCTTGTAGTAAATCTGCAACCACAGAAAGGATGGGAGGCTTTTCGTTCCCTCTCTAATAAATCCAAAAACACACAGACTAAGGGATGAATGCAATTATCTGCTAATGATACTGCTTTTGCTGTAACATTTTGATACTGCTGTAGCACTAATGATGGATAACATAGATAGTTTCATAGATGATGAAGGTAATTTAGAAATAGGGTGAACGGGCATTTTGTCTTCATCAGTTCTGCATAGGGCTTGGTATTAATTGTTTTGAGAAATCATTACAAATATTTGGAATATTGTAACTCCCATGGAGGGCCATACTGAGTTGGGTAAGAATGTGCTCATGCATATGAATAGGTTAGTGTTATCTGCCTTGTTTGATATCAGCAGTGTGTGGGGGAGTTATGAAATGCACTTCTAAATGCCTTCAGTGCAGGAGTTTTAATGGCATTTCTTTAAGAGTGGGTAGGTTTTGTGTTTGTTTTGTTGTTGTTTTTTTTTTTTTAAATTTATTATATGATTATTTGGAGGGGAAAAAAAATAACCCCCAACTTAACTTGTTGTCATCTGTGTTTTCTCCTAGCCATGAACTGGATGTGGATGAGAATCCAGTGGAAGATCCTGAGGAAACCTGTTCTATTTTGGGCTTCAAGTGTGGTGCAGGACAAAAGTAATTGCTTATGAGGAACTCAGGGTTCTTCTCAGCAAGTCAGCTCTGTTGATATTATTTTAGTATGCCATTCATTTCTATTCCAATTTTGTTGAACTTCTGGAAGATAATTGGTGAAGTTAATTTTTCTGCAGTAGCTTTAGCAGTAGAAATGCAGAGTTAGGCAACAAGAAAAGTGCTTTGAAAGATAAGCATAACTCATAGGGTACTTGCAGTTATATAACTGCAGACAACTGAGTAGAGAACTGAAATGCCTGCTCAGCTAGTTAAATTTGGGATGCTTAAGGGCTCAAAACGTTAATGGACTTCTCAGTTTAGAGTTCTGTGAGTTTAGATTGTAATTTGTAGATGTTTCATGTTGAAATGAGGTTGCTTTACATTAACTGTGTTAATGAAGTATTGCCAGGTTATTCAGGTTCAGTGAAATTTCCATTTTCAGTAGCATATCCTAAATATTGGTTATCGGTGCCTTAGAAGCAACATCATAGGGCACAGATGGACTGTAGCTTAGGTACAGGGCTCAAGTGACACATTTAGTACATATATAAGGTTCAAAGAGGAGTATGTCTTGTAGCTGACTCTGTCACTACAGGTATGTTAATTTTAAATCATCAGAATTGTAAATTTCCCAACTAATTTTTTTTACTTTTGTTTATTTCAGGTATGGTGGAATTCCAGATTTCACTCACCGAAGTGTTCAGTACCTGGAGAAAAAAGCAAAACTCAAGTCCAAATTTTTGGATATGCGTAAACCAAGGAAGAGCAAAAACACACACATCTTCTTTACAGAAGAGCCAGAAACATCTTGCAAAAAAAATAAAACTCTGAAGAAGGTGGGCATACTTGATAGTGTTGGTGAATTGCATAGATGCCTGTGCTCCCTTAGCTGTTGTTACATTATGCAAAAGAAATTTTGCACAGACAGGTGATTTTTTTTTTTTTTCATTTTCATTCTGATGCTAACGTTCTTTTTTTCCCCTTCCTCTCCTCCTCCTCCTGTTTAGGTGAAGAATAGTTATTGTTAGGGTGGGTGTAAAAAGGCATTGGTGGATGCTTAGCAGTCTAGTAAAAGAAATGTGAGCTTAATGGTGAAGTTACATGGAACCATGTACAATATAGGTGCATCATTCCTTTAAAGATGTGTGTAGGTTTCTGTGCTTACTAAAAGTCTTTCTGATCTTAAAATGAGTTTATGAGTACATTTCTTAGTGCTGGAATTTCTGTGGTGAGGGGGAAGAAAAAAGTGTATATAATCAAAATATACTGGGATGCTAGGCATTCCCTAATACTTCCCTGTGTATTCTATACATTCCCTAATACTTCCCTTTCCATAATAGTTCACCCTAAAACACTGTTTTCTGGTGACGATGAAGAATGTTGTATTGAGCTCTCATCCCATTGCTATAATTTAGGATCAAAAACTTGGCCATTGCTTCCTTGTACCTGATGCCAGTGAGGAGAGCTGTGATTATGTGAAGGAGAAAAGAAGTTACAAATTTCCTCAGTCCTTCTGGCAAACAACTGCACTAGGCCTAGTGCCACCCAGAGTAACTGTAATGTTAAAACTAGGCATCTGCAGATACCTTTGAAGAGGGAAACTGACACCTGTCCATTGGTCGGGATGCAGTGTGGAATTACAAACTGTGCAGCAGATTTGATGCATGTACCATTTGGTACATCCTGGAGGTGAGGCAACTCACTCTCTTCTTTGCACCCAGGTTGTATCTGGTTCCCAAGACAACTTGTTTTAAAAAAAAATGTGCAAAGGGAGCAGAGCTAATGACTCATGTTACAACTGGATGGTTTTTTATGTGCTTATCTGTGGATATTTTCCTTTTTTCAAAATACACATGGTAGAGAATGTATCCATGGCAAGTGCTTTTGAACTGCAATGCTTTTAAACTGTCCTGTTTGCACCTGGTTACAAATTCATCTCACAGTCTGTGATATATTTCCATTCCAGGTGGAAGCGTTCCTGAAGCAGGTTAATGAACCCGCAGAGGAAATTGTGTACCAGAAAGCCTCTCCTCTGGGTAAAGTTGAGGAGTCATCAACAAGCAGTGACTCAGAGGATCAGGAAAGTGTCACCACTGCACGGAGTGTGAGATTCAGTATGGAAACCCCTGAGCTGCTGCCTTCCAGTGTGGTTGATGGTGAACCTGGGACGAGTAAGCTGGAAGATGCAATGGATGCAACAGCAAACAGTGCTGGATGCCAGGGAAAGGGAAAGCCCAAGTATGGCTCTGGAAGGGTGCTGGTCCCTCTGGACATACCAGATTATCTCCAGGCAGAAATGGAGGACGTGAGCCCAGGTACTCCTGTTTCCTACAAACTGGACATGACTTGGTAGTGGCCTGCTGCTCCTCTCCCAAATTATGTTGGTGTTGTGTGGCATTTACCTGTGGTTTACCACTTGGACCAAGAAGGTCTCTTTGAATAATTTATAGCTGTACTAGTGAAAGTAGTTTGTTCCTGCAGCACCAAAATCCAGGCCTTGCCTTTACTTTAGACAGCATTTCTGTATGGATGAACAGTGTTGATCTAACATGTGACCTAGTAGGTCATGTCTCTGGTTCACTCCTCTTTTCCCCTGTGAGAGCTATTCACGTCAGCTAGAGGCAAGGAATGCTCACTTTTGGATTCATATATGCACATAGATTTAGGAAATGTGTGTTGTTTAAAAAAAAAAAAATAAATAAAAATAAAAAAAAAAAAACCTTATAGTGTGAACGTGCTTATTTAACCCTTGGAAAAACAGAAAATAAGATTATTTAGCTTTCTGCATAGTTTAATCCTTCCCACAGAAATCCAATTGTGTTATAACTATTTAAAACACTGATCTAGATTGATTCTTATTCCTATTTAGTACATAGGCATTAAATTGGTGTCTGATCCACGTTTGCTCACCATTTACAGCTTATTTCTATCAGCTGAAAGTCATGTCTAGCCTGCTAAGACTCCTAAATAACGGGTAAAATATTATCATTTTATAACTGTGACAGATGTTTGATAGATTACTTTATTCCTTTGCTATATAGAATGCCCTTTTTTAACTTAAACTACTGATCTGCATAATCTGGCAGACAGTATTAAAGGTCATTTAGCAGTGTTGCTTAACTCGAGCATCTTGACTCTTATCTAGCTGCCAGTTATATTCATAGCCTACGAAGACAGTTAACTTTTACAGTGTCTTCCAGTTGTAGATGAAAAAAATACTGCAAAGAAGAAGGAGAGAAAAAGGAGGAGAAAGCATAAGATTGCACTGGGAGAGATACCTCCTGAGATTGCTGCGGATCCTGAGCTGATCAAGTACTGGGCTCAACGCTACAGGCTGTTCTCTCGCTTTGATGAGGGGATTAAACTTGATAGAGGTAGGTGTATCTAGTATACAGGGTTTTGACTTGGGTGGCATAAGGGGTACTCAAGCCTGTGACCTTTCTTACAGCTTATTACTAATTCTTGTGTTGAAACGAGCAATACTGAGTGCACAGTCAACATGCTGACAAACAAAAAAGCTTTGGGACTTCTGTTCCCCAGTTTCTAGTGTGGCACAGCCCTCTTTGTGCTAGTTATGATGCTTGCTGAAGATTGTAGTGTACCCAAACAGTGCCTGCTCAGGACTTTCTCAGAACCTCAATGACTCTTCTCCTTTTTTTTTTTTTTTTTTTTTTTTTCTTTTTTCACTTTTTAACTTTGAAGTGCAATAATGAATGTAATTTTGTTCTCTTAACGTACACTGTCTTTCAGCAGTCATTTTCAAGGTTACATTTTTCCATGTTATGTGGAAGCCACTTCTAGATCATCAGTTCTTAGATAAATAAGGAGTTTTTAAAAAAGGGTATTACCACCCTTTTTGGTAAGATTTTTTGTAAGGCTTTCATTTCTAATACTTCCCCATATAAACACATAGATTGTTTGGCAGGCCAAGTATGGCTGTAAGGAAAATAACGTGTAGGATGTGAGAGGATATATTTCTGTTTTATTTGTGGCAGAGCATAGTTATGACATGTATGAGGTTTTTTGCAGCTGTATTTATGTACTTGTCCTTCATAAGCACCAAGTTCAACAAAGCCTTCACTGAGAATCAGGCATATCTATTCACATCAGTGAGACTTTGTTTGCTTAGCAAATCACTGGACTTACCAGAGTTTATAATCTTGAAAGCCTGTATTTCCTGGTCAAATGTGTTAAGCCAAAGTTGCTGGGATTAATGCTAAACCTTCAGCTGTTTATTTTTAATTTAGATGAAATAAGTGGCGAAAAATACTTTTCTTCTCTTCCCTTTGTAGAGGGCTGGTTTTCTGTTACTCCTGAGAAGATAGCAGAGCATATTGCAGTCCGTGTGGCTCAGTCATTCAACTGTAATACAATAGTGGATGCCTTCTGTGGGGTTGGAGGAAATGCTATTCAGTTTGCTTTGACCTCAAAAAGGGGTAAGTGGGCATTGTATGCAGCACAGTGTTTCATTTCTTCAACCTTTTTCCCTAAAATTAGGGAAGGAAGTTAGGAGGAAGTTTTTTTTAGGAGGAAGTTTTTCACTCAGAGGGTGGTGATGCACTGGAACAGGCTGCCCAAGGAGGCTGTGGATGCCCCATCTGTGGAGGCATTCAAGGCCAGGCTGGATGTGGCTCTGGGCAGCCTGGTCTGGTGGTTGGTGACTCTGCACATAGTAGGGGGTTTGAAACTAGAGGATCGTTGTGGTCCGTTTCAACCTATTCTATGATTCTATGAAAAATGGAGGAAAAACTGCTTTTCAATTTAAAGTCAAAGTTGGATTTACGTTGTATATAATCAGTGTTAGTTTTACTTGGCATAGTAGCTAGTCCATAAGATGCTCTAAGATTGCTGTTAAAGGTTAAATTCTGTTTGCACTGACACCAAAAAGCTGCTGCTTTTCCCAATAGTATGTTAAGGCTAAGTACTCAAAAACATATTTCATGTGAAATGTACTTAACATATTGGAATAGGATCACCTGTGGGTGCAGCAGGACCTAATACAGAAAAGCAGTGATAACTTGGTATTAGTGTAAGTTCTTGTTTCTAGGTAATGAAATAGCAGTGAATCATGAGAGTGCTTTCTGTAAAAACATTGACTACTTAATCCTCCTCTAGTCTTGAAACACTCTGGTAAAATACCAGCTCATTGAACGCTTCCAAGTAATTTCTGAGCAAGAAAAATGGTAGTTTGTGCTGCGTTAAATTTGGTAGGCTATGATGCATTCTATAAATATTTCCTAAATTTCACATTAGTTTACATGATTATGTACTGCCGTTGTATCATAATTCTTGTACAGCACTGGGTGTTTTTCCAACTCAATTTTCAGTGTAATGTGATCAGCCACAAGGTAAACATTAATCTTTGACAGAGAAGAACAGGTTTCCAGTTTGACTCTGTGTAAGCTGTTGGGCTCCTGCCAGGAGAGAAGATCTGGCTCTGGTGTTGCTGTGACTTTGGTGTGAATGCATGGAGCTTCTGCTGTAAAGTAAAGGACCTTCCTTTCCCTCTGAGGAGCTGGAGCTTCATGTTTTCTGCTACCTAGAAAATGAAGTCCTTGCTTAGCACTTAAAATGAAATTATGGATGTGATATGTATCTGGTTGCTACAAGCATTGTACATTGTGAAATACATTGTGAAACATTTTGTTTGGTAACTGGGTGACATCCATGTGACAGTCAGATGCTCTGTGCACTTTGCAGCCCACATTACCTGTTCATTTCCTCCCTTGTTCCCTTGCAGTGATTGCTGTTGATATAGATCCTGAGAAACTCAGCCTTGCACGCAGCAATGCCGAGGTGTACGGCGTGGCCAACCAGATTGAATTTGTGTGTGGAGACTTCATGGTGCTGGCTGCTGACCTGAAAGCAGATGTTGTGTTCCTCAGCCCTCCTTGGGGTGGGCCTGACTATGCCACTGCTGAAATCTTTGACATCCAAACTATGATTTGCCCAGATGGATATCCTTTCAAAGCTGTGTGTCATCATGGGTCTGATTTTCAGTCTTTTATGTTTTTTTGTTCCCTCTTCTCTTGAGGTGGGCTTTGCCACGTCCAGCTGGCAGACTGAAAGTGATGGTATCTGGGTGAGGTGCTGCAAGATATGGTTTAGTAACTTATTGATAGTAGTGGTGATAGGAGAACAGTTGACTAGATGATCTGTTATGTTCATATCTTCTAATTTAAAGTATTCATTATTTTTGTTATATGATTTTATTTAAAGAAACAACCCTGAAGTAATCAAATACACATGTGGCATATGCATAGGCAATCATTAGTTATGTGAGCTATATATTTTTTTTTTTTAATGAGAGCTAGCCTTGCTTAAAATATTTATGTCGTTATTATAACACCTCATGATGTGGGAAAACAGAAGAATGCAAGCAAAATATTAATTAATGTATAAAATTTAATGTTAGTTTATTTACATTGGTAGTGAGCAGCCATTCATTTAGGAAGGCATGAGCATAACAGTCTCATCAACTACAGAACTGTGTTTTTCTTTGTCAAATAATCTCTTTTTATTCCTTTTTAGCTAAACTGTAGCTATACCTCTAAGGTAGGCCTCTATGTGAGAGGCAATGTTATGCAAAATGATTTAGAAAGCAGGTATCAAACCAGTGTACTGACTATAAACTGCTTCTCAAATTCTTTTTTTGCAGTTCAGTTAAATTTTCTAGGTAAAGGGAGTGAATTGGTTGGGTTCTCTGGGGTTTTTTTTGTTTGTTTGTTTTAAAAAAAAAAAAAGGACAGTAATGGTGAAATAGTGGTATTTTTACATTTAGTACTAATTTCTGCATTTCAGAACAATATCTAATTACACAGCCATTACGTTATTGCATAATAAGCTTTCAAAATGAAAAATATGTAATAGTTTCTCCCTCCCTCTACATTTTTTTTTTTTTTTTTTTCCTTTACTGGCTTCTACATTTGAAATTTTCAGGCTCTCCAAGAAGATTACAAACAACATTGTTTATTTTCTACCTCGGAACGCTGACATTAACCAGGTACGTTACTGCAAAATGGCTTGCTAACTACCAAAACCTCAACTTGGTAAAACATGGTATAAGCACAAAGTTAAGGTTTTTTAGTCTGTTCAGCTGAACGTGTTTGGTTTGTTTTGTTTTGTTTTAGATTTGAACCTTACATTAAGTGGTTTCTGTGTTTCTAGCACTTCTGGCATATTTAGAAATTGGAGTAGTAGATGACTTTCATTATTTTGATACTATTCCTTCATAGAGCAGCAGACTGGAGATACTTACAGGCAATCCAAATACAGTATATTTGCGTGCCAGACGGATACATTCATATAAAAGAAAAAGGTATTTTAACCAGCTCATACCATCTCATATATTCTGAGTCCTAAACCTTTCTGGCTTTCCATTCATGCAGGAGTTGCAGGAGATCACTGTACAGCCTGCTATGATTAATGCCATTACTGTCATTCTCATTAGCATTTTAGTACAGTCTCAAGCAAGAGACATCTGTCATGCTGCCCATACAGGTGTGTAGTTACCTAGGGGCTGCTTGCAGAGCAGTGATTGGATTACTTAGATGTAGCACTGACTTGTTAAACACACAGTTTATTTTACCAGTTCAGGGTGCTGCTTTTTTTTTGTTTGTTTGTTTTGGTGGTAGAAATGTTCATTAGAAAAGTACTGTACCTGTTTGGTTGTTCAGATTGTTGATGTGGAATGTCAAATACAGTTTGTTCTTCAGTGTTTGAAATTAAATATGTCAGTCAAGTACTTTTTTTTATTTTGGAAGTAATTAGATGACTGTAGCACTTGCCCTGAGTGTCTGGTTTAGTTTCCTCTGTATATTTTCTATGCTAATTATGTCTTGTAGATTTTAAGCTAAGATGGAGCAGTGAGATGTTCTCTTCACTTGCCTTATGCCACAGAACTTCGCAGGTTATTTCCAGCTTTTCCAAAAGCTCTGTCTAATGTAGAGCAGATGAGGACTTCAGCCAGTGCCTGCAGACATGGTTTATGGCAAACAGACAGTATGAGAAATTCTCATGGCCTAGCTGTTAGCATGCTCTGCCTGTGTAGCACCTGTGTGTGGTTGCATTAGATGTTTTGCTGCCCCTACCTCTTGGTCCAGTTGGCTCTGAGTCTTGTTGGAATGTTCTGAATGTTCCTTGATGTACATCCACAGGTTCTCCTCTACACAAATTGCTGAAAAGTGCTGTCACTCAGAATTGTGGCTATGTGGTCACAGCTTAGTTGTAAAAGGAGATACTTGGATTCAGCTCAGTTTTCCCACCTATAGGCTGTTCTCATGGAAAGAAAGCAATTCCTTATGCTTTCTCTAGCTACTGTGCCAGTATACAGGAAAAAAAAGATCTAAAGGTTGATTATCTGACAGTGTGGAGAGAGGATATTCATCTAGCTTAGTGTTGAGGGAAATTCAGCGTTGGTACTTGCTTGGACAATGGTGGGTTGTACTTGACCTTCCTAATTATGATTGTAGTGGATTCTCTGGTCCACAGAAGACTATGCAGAGGTTACAGCCTTGGCCGTCGTAATCTCTGGTTGTATTGGAGTGACATTTCTGAATTTACCACTACTGAAATTTCAGGACTGTGAATTTCTAGAGGATTGGAAGATATATCTTCAAGGTTCCTTAATGGTAGGCGTGAGCAGTTTTTCTTCTTAGTTTCTATGTGGTTTTGCCCACAGTTCTGATCCATTTTATTTATCTGATGGATCGAATAGAGTAGCTCCTGTCCTGACAACCTTGGCAGGGGTGCAGAATCCCACTGCTAGTGTATCATCATGTGGCTGTGCTTGTAAATGTAATCCGTAAGCACCAGGGGCCTAGAAAGGTCTGATGAAGAAAATATTTAACATTTTTTTTGCAGGAGATTAAAACCTGAAATCTAAGTAACTTCGATAAGGCAGTATTTGCTGAGAGATTACCTGATGCCTTAGATTTGAAACTTACAAGGTTCTTAAGTTCATTTATGATAGCACTGCACAGGCTTATCAGAATTGCCTCTTCAGTGTCCTTAAAAGTTCTCTTTTTGTATACATGCAAATACTTCAGGCTTTCATGTATCCCTGAGCTCCTAGAAGAGGCAGTCTGGAATGTCTAGCATGGAAGGTGGCAGTTGTTAAATCTTCAGTACTCTGCCTCTTGTTTTTTACTGACTGAATCTGCAACCAGAGTGTGCTTTGCTAGTTAAAATTAATTTGGAAGCTGATTTAATTTCTGTTGCAAAACTCCATGCAGATGTTAATACTGATTGTAAGCCAGTGTAGCAGTGCATGTTGGCTTGTCTGACAGTAGATCTCAGGTTTGTAGAAATAGATGCCCAGCTACTGGAATCGACCTTAAAGCTAAAATCCTGCTTTTCCTTAAATTAGGAGGGTTCAAATTTACTGGAAAACATATCTTTTTGTTTTTCGGTTTGTTTTTTTTTCAGCATTAGATATGTTGGGTAGTGTGAATTCTTGCTGTGAAAGCAGGTGGTTGTTGACCTCAACTGTGCTGTTTCTGAGGGCACTGCATTCACTGCCTTCTTGGTAGATCAGACCTGCAACCTCGTTCTGTATGGCTTTATTCCAAAAGTGATGTGAATTATGCCTGCACAGTACTACGATTTTTTGGAGTCAATTTGGTCTTGCAGAGTGGAGAGAGGATTCCTTTGGCTGAATCCTCTTAGAAAATTCAGTGAATTTATGTGCAAGAGCAAACTTCTGTACTTCTGCCTCAAGAGGGAGCATCGAACCAGTGAAACACACTTGATGTGTTCACAAGAAATAGGAAACATTTATCTCGGTTGCATCCAATCTGGTTTATAAGCATGTGCTTGATTCAAAACGTATGTCCATTTTTAGGTTGAACTGATCTTTCAGAAATGTTCTTTCTGATTAGGGAATATTCAGGAACCATTATATATGAGTGTGTACATAAAAACATAGTTGATATTTGCAGCTCATCCTTGCTGATACCTGTTTCTTTGCAGCATCTTTACCTCTAAGTCTTTTTTTTTTTTTTTTTTTTTTAAACTTTCTTTGTATCCCCTTAAAAAAAAAAAAAAAAAAGTTTGGGAGGGAATTGGGTTGAAGGGCAGAATTGTGAGATCTATAGATATTATCAGTTGAGATCATGTTTGAGTACTACTTCAGTTGTGGGTGGGACTAAGCTTTTATTTGGCTGCCAGCAGTATTTTTGGAAAACAGAATAAAAAGTTTGATCAACTAAGAATTCTTTCAAGGTAGGAAAGAACTTGAGATCATGTGCATTCAAATCAAAATTATGCTGTAGCAAATTTGCTGTAGCAAATACAAGTGAAAATGTTTGGTAAACATTTGGGTATTTGAAAGCTGTTTTTACCTTCTATGAGAAGAATTAATGATACTAATTTAAGCTGATAATGGTTAAAAATAAATAAATGAGGATATCTGTGCCTTGGCAAAATTCTGATGAAGACACATTTCCTGCCCTTGCTCTGTGGTTAATAGGCTTCATGAGCAGCAGGGAACCTGAAGTCAGGGAACGTTCAACCTTTCCCAACATCCTTGTTCTCAGCTGGTTCATTTCCATCACATCAAGGGAGAGAAAGGAGATACCTGCAGGCAATACTATGTTTGGATCTTCAAACCTCAGCTAAGCCTAATCAAGACCTGCATGAGTGATTGGAGAAGCAAGCTGGTTGAGACTGATTAAATAATGTCTACATTCAGCAAGGTGTGCTAAGCCTCATTGTGTACTCACCTCAGGGACTGGCATTTATCCTTGATCAGTTGCACCGCCTCTTTTCTTCTCTTCTTAATATTTGCAGCAAAGAGGGAAGAATCTGGGGTTTACTGTAGGAGTTTCTTTGTAGTGGTTTCACCTCATTAGAGAAGGGCACCAAAGCATATAGAATCCTCCTAGGTGTTCACACACTAATGCAGTGATGCAGCAGACTGTTCTGCATGACATAGGTCCTGCTGCTGAGGTGTTTGTCCTGCCACTGGTTGTCAGGACAGGGTCAGGGTGGGTGATGCCCTCTCCTGAAAAACTGGTGAGACGTATATGCTGATGGTATAAGGCATTAGCACATTAGCATCTCTAACAACCTAGCCAAGCACAACAGCTGGAGCAGTGGTGAACATGTGGTTTGTTGCTCACCCCGCCCATTATCAATTATTGCTCAGCTCGAGCTATCTTTTTGGGATAGAAGATATGTTTTGGTCTATCTGAAATCCGGCCTGTGACATAAGAAAAGCACTGTAGTTCTGTGAAGAGATTTGGCAGTGTTAGAAAGCCTTTCTCCATGGGGTAAATTGGTTGAAATGATCTATCCAGGAGAGAGATAGTAGTGTTGGCTCTGTGCTGTGGGTTACAGCAGTAGTGTTGTGAAGTCATGTTCCAGACCTTGCTAGCGTGCTACACGAGCTTTGTACTAACAGGCTTTGTGTCAGTATGGGGTGGGGTAGAAGAAAAGATCTAATAAATTAAAAATAAATAGAGGAAGCATCAGGAATTTTTCTAAAGTGGGATAACTTAAAAACAAACAAACAAAAAACAAAACACCAGACCTTCAAAATTCAAGTCTATTTCACATTCAAATTTGAGTATAGTTGGAATTTCATAAACAGGAGCTGTTGTATTTATTGAAAATATATTTTCCTCTTAGAGTTGCTATTAAACTTCTGAAAAATTTCCCCGTTTTCAGCCAGCAATATTTGGATGTAAAAGTAGCATGGCATAACAGAAGAAGAATACTGCTCTTTTGGTAATATATTTCCTTTAAAGATCATCTGGTTCAGCTCCCCTGCAATTACAGAGAGCTGCATCAGGGACAGCTATATCAGGTCGCTCAGAATCCTCTGTAGCCAGACTTTGAATGTCTCCATGGACAGGGGCATCCACCACATCTCTGGGCAAACCTTCCAGTGCCTTACTACCATTACTGTAAAAAGAACTTTTTCCTTTTATGCAATTTAAGTCTCTCCTGTTCTAATTTGAAACCATTTCCCCTAGTCCTTTCACAACATACCCTGCTAAAGAGTTTGTCCCCTTCCTTCTTATAGCCTCCATTTAGATACTGAAAGGTTGCTATCAGCTCTTCCTGGAGCCTTTTCTTCTCCAGACTGAACAGCCTCAGCTCTCTCAGCTTGCTCTCATAGGGAAGAAGCAGGAGAAGTTCTTCCCTGTCCTTAGAATAAGAGAATACCTCCGAGGTTTCAGCCTGTGCAAGATTAAAACTAGATTCTGTCTCTTAACTTTCAGTAAAGGCTATTTGTTTGGTTTTTTTCCAAATGTAGTCAAGGTTGTGATGCTTCAACCAGCATCCTTTATGGCCTCATCCATCCCTCTGGTGGATGTCTGCCTTCTTTGAACCTTGCTAGAAGGAGAGGTCGTGCAGCACTGAGGAGAGAGTGGAGCATGAAACAGTGGAGATGATGTGTCTGGATGCAGCACTGGCATTTCTGGGAAGATGCACTGTGTGAGGGCAGCTGGGTTGGGCATGGTGCTGCGTTTTGTAGTTGAGCAGGAGAGAGACCTGGTGGGAAGTGATAAACACAGTGCCATAGCAAGATGTTCATAGGTACATACTCTTCCATCTGTGCTATTTATCATGTTCTCCCACGGTTACTACTAGTTAATGGGAAGTATATATGTTGGCATTGTAACAGTGATCGGCAACTTCTTTCCGCTTAAGCTATTAGTGAATTAATTGTTAGCAGCTTGTTGTGACTCCATCAATCATGAGCTGACCTGCCAGCAGTCTGCCTGATTTTTGTATTGATGTGTAACATAGTCCTGCTGGGAAAGTCTTACAGACTGCATTTATTCCCTGTGTACTGTGCTTTCGAAAAATAGGTGGTGTAGGAGACAAGCAAAAGGTTACATTTGTCGTTATTTAGAGTTGTGTTGTGTGTTTGTTTTTTGATGTGGTCACTTTTCAGACTTCTTCCTATTTCTGTATTGGAAACTGACGCCTGGGTTTGGGACTTCAGCTATACCAAATTAAATGAAATCACTCCTCAATCGCAGGACATTTTGCTATCCTAAATGATGGTTTCACGTGTCTGGTTATGTTTCAGGAGTTATTACTGTTTGGTCTGTATCTAGTGCTTAGAATGATTTGCTGGTCCTAAAATCAAGCAAAATGCTGTTGACTCTGATAGTGAAGAAAAGAATGCACATCGTGCAGATCCTTTTTCTTTTCTTGCCTTTGTTTCCTCAATGTAATGATACCCATTTTTGGAAAATCAAGATTGAAAATGAAACTTTGATTTTTGTCTGCGTATCTTGTGCCTAGATGGTAAGATGTTTATTGTGCTTCACGTTTTGAAAGACCACCTGGAACTGTGTAGTCTTTTTAGGGTCCTTCCAACCCAAGCCATTCTGTGATCCTATAATAATACGTTTTAGAGCTTTTTGTATGGCAGTTTGTCCTTGTTAATCTGTCAGGCTTCACTGAGCCGTTCCAAGGAAAGCTTGCAGCTAGCAGCTTGCACATAATTAAATTTGCAACCTCCAGCAGTTTATAAACAAGCATGGTGATGGAACATTTGTGTTTTCCTCCTCTGAATGTTGGTGGTTCCATCTGAGCAGTCAGTGCCTCCTCGCTGGGCTCCCTTTGCTTCCCTGCACCTCCCATTCACATGAGAAGCTGCGATGTTGACAGATGTATTCTGAGGAGTGCAGTCATGGATTTTTGCAATCTGGAGATTTCTGTCCTGACTCTGCCTCTGCAGTTCATGCCTATGTGCCCATTAGAGTTTTGTCACCTTTGAGTTTTCAAATATATATTTTTAGGAGGCAATTGAAATTACTCTTATTAATCCTGGATTTAATGCTTTAAAGTTGTATATATATTTATACATGCAGCATGTGGATATTGTGCTCTCAGGTATCCTTCAGAAAATGACACCTGTTAGCAGAGGGAGTGACATCTACCTGCATTACTGAATAAATATTCTATTTGGACTTCTAAGAGGAATACTTAGTAAAGACTTGTTTGATATGAATGAGCAAGTAGTACTTATATGTGCTTAATTATATAAATTGTGCTCCAAACTTGGGACTGGGTAATCAATCCCAGGTAGTATCAGTGTTCATATATTAAGTTGACCAATCCAGTCAATATTCCTGAAGAGTTAAGCAGCTATAGCTTCAGAAGGCATTCTCTTACACTTTTTGCAAGAGTCATTTACAATAAAATAGGACAAAATTAACATCTTCCTGGGAAAAAAAATAAATGGGTTGCCTTGCAGTATTAACGGCTTTTAGAATGTCAAGAAGGAAAAGGTAAGTCATAAAATTAACATTCTTGATCACTTGCCAGTGCAGACTCTCGTGCTATTTATAAATTGGCCTGCTTCTGCTTTTTTACTTAAGTGGCGGGTTCCTCTTTGACAAGAATGTGGAATTTTTTTTTTCCTATCACCATTATACTGAAGGATGAATAAAACTGCTCAGACTTTTGTTTTTATCTACAGATAGAGAAAGAAAAAGAAAAAAGGGGGAGGGGTGAGAGGAAAGGAAAGTAAATGTCTGTTTTAGATAAGTGTGATCTTTCTGGGCAAGTCAATAAAGGTTCAAGGTATAATTTAGATTAATTTGTTATTTCCTCTTGATGGTAGGCTGCTTTTTTACTTGCAGTAAAATAGAGGAAGCTCAGCATGTTTATATTTAAACCTGTGCTACAGAGTGAAGTCTCGGAGGAGTTCAGAAGTGGCAATAATGCAAGCCGAACTTCACATTTTAGCTGGCAGTGTCACAGACATCTTGGTTTAAAGACCAGTGCAAGCCTACTGCGGGCCTGCAGACCTTCTGTTTTTTATTTTGTTGAAGTGGAAAGTTTTCCAGCGTCAGACCCACTGGGAAGCAGCACAGCATGGCAGCCGCCTCCCACTGTGCAGCCTGCAGCAGGGAGCAGTCAGTCATCTACCGTCTGCCACTGCACTGCTGGGCGTGGTAAACATGAGCGGAAGGGGACGGAGGGTTGTGTGCTCGGGTCCAAAAGACAAAGTCCACAACAGTGTTTCCTTTACAGTTGTCAGTTGTAATCATTAAGCACCAAAGGTGCTCGCTGGGCTCGGTCAGCAGAGCGTGAGTGGTCTCGCTCGGGTGGCTGCAGACAGGCCCTGCGCTGCCCCGCAGGCTCTCTACCTCATTCTTCAGCGGTTGCTCAGCTGCCGGCTGCCTTTCCATCAACAGTGTCTGAGATTCACCTGCACACAGCAACAGCTTTTCTTTTGTTGTTGCAACAGGAAAAAAAAAAAAAAAAAGATAGTATATTTGAAAGCTGTTTGGTTTGGGGGCTGGATATCTTCTTGTTGTGATGTTTTTGTTTTGGACGGTTGCTTTATTTCCTTCCCCAGCTCTTCAGCACAACTTTTATGCTTCCCAGTTTCAGGATTTGTTTGTACTCTGCCCACGAAACTTTGCATTTTGACATGTAAATTTAAAAAAATTTTTTTTTTTTTTTACATTTTGACACTCAGGATTTTGGCTTGATTTTTGCTGTCACCAGGCAAGCATCAGGGATGCTTGTGCTCTTGGTGCTCTGCAAACCTGGCTGTAGTATGTCTCAGCATAGTGTGAGAAGTAGTGATTCTTTATCTTTAGTTCTCAAGTTCTCCTGTTGTTTTTTTGTGGATAGGGACGAATTCTAGGTCCCCAGGAAGCCACAGACTCACTTCTGTGATAAAATAGGAAACACACGGAGGACCGGAGGCGTTAGGCACCAGTGATATCGAAATAAAGATGCTTTACATGACACGAACAGAAGTTTGGGGATTTTCCTCTTTACCTGCACATTGATTGATCTATTTCTTGTTCTTTTGTTTTTCAGATCGCTTCCTTGGCAGGGCCAGGAGGGAAAGTTGAAATAGAACAAAATTTTCTCAATAACAAACTGAAGACAATAACAGCTTATTTTGGGGATCTAATAAGGCCTGACCTCTCCTGAATTTCATGTGCATTCTTCTAGGTGCAACCTCCTTGACTACTTTACTGCATAAACCTTTGTACAGCTGGCTTGTCCAAAACGACGTGAAGCTGTTTCCTGCTTTAATTTTTATTCTGAAAAACGTTTTGTTCATTGCTACTGCCAATAAATGTTTTATAAGAATTTTGGCAAATTTCTAAAACTAGAGTAGCTGTGAACGGAGGAGAAACTCTTTTTGACACAGTCTTGCAAGATCAGTCAGTTGAAGGAGGACCTGGGGACTTCTTTGCAGCTCTGATGTGTGCTGCGGTACTTACTCACTCCATTGTGGATGTTCAGGGTGTTGAATAGTTTGAAAAACACCAAGTGTCAAGAATGCTGTCAGTGCTGACAAAACATGAGCACCTGAACATAATGTGGACCTACATGGTGTGATACACGGCGCCAGATGCAGCTGTCACCTAGCTTCACAGGCTTCCTGCTCGCCTAGAAACCTTCTCAGGTTTCTTTATGGTATGATGGCCTACACATTTGTTATAGTGAGTTCTGCAGTTTGCTGCAGCTTACAGAGAGAATAGGGTGTGTTTGTGGCTGGCAGCAGGGCTGTACCCTCTCCTTTGTTATTTATTCTTTTTCCCCCTCCTACAGATAATGAGGAGAAACCTGACTGGAGGTCAGTCCCAGTAGCTTTATTGGAAGTTAGACACAGGTTTCATCCTCTTTTGGACACCTGCTCCTCAGGCAGGCAGCATGAAGCAGCAGAGGGAGCACTAATCCCCAGTAGGAGTAATCCACTCCCAGTCTGGGTTTTGAGGGAGAGCAGTTGCCTTTGGACATTTCTTTGGGCAGAAAAGGACTCAGGCAAGAAGAGAAGTGTCTGTAGGGCACAGACATGAAATTCTCGTTGAAACACAGTTACAGAAAGTATACGAGATTAATGTTGATCGTGTTTATGAGGTAAGAGTGTAGGAATACACTCTTATAAAAAATAAAAAAATTAAAAAAAATAAATAAAATTTTGAAGATGAGAAGTGTTGATTCTCCTCTACTTGGAGTGCAGCAAATCATGATGTTGAAGGCAGCAAAGACTAAGCACTGAACCATGGATCTGTGCTGATGAAGAAGGCTTTGTAGAGTAACAGTGTGGAACAAACAAATGAAGGGAATTTTTTTTTTAAAGATAATAAAGACATACTTAAAGATTTTATTAAATCTTTAAATCAGTTAAGAGACTAGTGGGTTTGTATATGCAGGTTGTTAAAAATATATGTGCAACTTGACTCATTGCAGGTGCAGTAAAGAAGCACCTAGGAAAGAATTTTCCAAAATTTATTGTCCTTCCAGTACCAGGCAATTGCTAAAGTGTTAAATGAGTGTTTCCTACCTTCACATGTTTCAACTATTTAATTTGCATTGCTGCGTTTTTTCCACTGTGCTGAAGAACTGCTGTGATGGTGCAGGCCCCCATGCCAGTGTTTAAAAGGAGTTGGAAAGGAGAGAAACTACCTGCTCTGCAGTGTTTCCTAAAGAATGGCAAGGGAGATCCTTACTGTACACCTGCCTCTTCCTCAGAAATGTGTTGCATTTGCAGGCAATCCTTTTGCTACAAAGAGGAGAGTGGCAAGTGCTGATATTACAGGTCCAAGCCTACTGCAGTAGTAGCATATAAATGTAGTGATGTTATTAAAATTCCACTCTGACCTATATTAGGAAAAAAAAAACAAAAAAAAAAAAAGCCATAAAATCATAAGACCAAATGAAAAATAAATGTTTACTCAGTATGTTAATAGTTCTCTGTACACTGAAATTTAACTATATTGGGCCTGCAGCTGCTTACAGAAAAGTTGTCATCTTATTTTTTAGTCCCTCTTCTTTCGTGTAGTTAAGAATGACTTCAGAAGCATTTTGAGATCTCACTAACACCGCTCATTTTTACCTCGTTTTACCACTTGTTTTATCAGAAAAGTGGTCTGATTTTGTTCATCATCCAGTTTTCAGGAAGTAGAAGCTGAAATGTGACGTACAAAATACAACATTTACTGTTCCAATGTTTGCTTCCAGTTTAGTGAACTTAATGGTAAAAATGGAAGGCTAGTTAAAGGCTTTTACTGCTTTTACCTGGCAAGTGTGTTAAGAGTCAAAAATGGAAGAATACCCTTGTTCATGCCTGTTCTTCTGTGTTAACCAACAAGTGTAAAAGATACGTGAGCTGGTTGGTTGATTTGTTTTGCACACCACTTGAAGTCAGAATGGACTCTGCTGGGTTGGTTGCTGCCAGTTTTGTGCTCGGCGCAGTTTCCCATAGTGGAGAGCCACTCAATTAAACCTAATGGACTGACTAATAAAACCTTAAGCCTTATGTACTAAGAGCGTTCGCTTTGTGGTAGTAGTAGTTTCAACCACCAAGCTCTTCATAGGGGACAGCATCAGTCGTTATGTGAGTTTCTGTAGGGTGTTGTTCTGCTTTGTATTTTGGAAAAAAAATGTGATGAAACAGAATTAAATTTCCGGAGTTTTAATACTGTGCTGAGTCCAGTAATGTTTTGCATATCACATGCTGCAAATTGGTGTTAGGCTACCAAGTTACAATGCCAGTGCAAAGTAAATATTCATAGAGGTTTAGGCTTGTACTTTAATCTGCCGAAGAAGCTATGAGAAAAATGCGGAGTATTTTTTGGAGGCAGACTACTATTTGTACTAATTACCATAAAATGTGTACTCTTTCGCTTTCTGCCATGCTCCCAAGGTTCTGATTTCTCAAGTTTATCGTAATTAAATCAGTCATTTATACCAAGCCCACTGATTCCTTTGTTTCTGCTGCCATGAAGTGATGAAAAACAGCTCCAGCAATCAGACTGCAAGGTGCAGAGCAGTGGTGGATCTAATGGGGTGGGAGCAGTGCATTGGGCAGCCCAACCCTCCCTTCATGGCAAGAAGCTCAGTGCCACTGAGGCAGCCCTGTTAGTGTTATGGCAAGAATCACTGTGCCGTGACGTTTTAACGTACAGGTTTTAGAAAACCTTCCCCAAGTGTAGTTTCTGAAATAACATCTGGCTCTGTATGCATTGCTCAGGGGTTACACAAACAAATTAGTGTTACACCACGGTGACCTTGGTAACTTTTAGAAGAGGGAAACCCCATAAATAGCGCAAGGAAATCTTACTTGCAGTAACTCACTGAGCAAATCAATAAAAATTGTGTCATATTCATTTGGTTGGCTCTCTGCACCTGAATCTGTCCACCCTCAATAACAAGGGCAATCCTAACCCAGCATATGGATTGATTGCTTGATTGGCTGCTTAGCCTTTTCAGCGCTGGAAATAGCATCCCTGTCCCTGGAATGTCTTGGGGTTCAGAGCACTAAAAGTTGATTTTCAGTGTCAAGGAAGTTATGGGTTGCTGTATGAAACCAGAACAAAGCTATTTGGGCAAGTATATTCGATTGAGGAAAGCCTACAGTACACTGGTTTTGTTTTTTATTTCATTGCCAAAAAGAAGGTGGGGAGGAGGAAGCAGCAGAAGAATAAATGCTGCAAAACCAGACTTGAAACTGATGCAGAGCTAACTTTCCTGTAACAGCTGCCAGAAGGAGAAGTTGCTGAGCACTCCAGCCCACTGGGTCAGTAAGGAGTGTTTCCCAGGCATGTGCCCTGTGGAGATGCTTTGCTGGTTCCATTCACTGAAGTCCCAGAAATGCCCCCGAAGTCATACCAATAACAACAGCAACCACTGCCACAGTGATAATAATAATAAGGATGATAATACACGATTTGTTACTCGGGAGACTGCAAAAGGGACTGCTGGCTGGAAAGAAGCTAGAGGAATGGCCAGAACCAGATGGGCTGTTAGATGCTGCATGCTGGAGATATGCCCAAGCAGTGAGCACACTCACTGCAGCCCATGGGAAGCAGGCGGAAGGACTGACTGCAAACAGGGCTCATGCTCTGCAGGGCTGGGTTCCCATCTCCACTCAGCACAGGCTCTGAGCATGAAGTCTGGCCCTGTGGTGTCCCCTGAAGGTATGTGAGATGCAGTTAGCACCTGACGATATGAGCAGCATCTGCTCACTGCACAAGAGTTTCCCTGTGTGGGGAATTCCCCATCAGAATGTGCATGAAGCTGTGCAGTGCACCCCTGCAGTCTACAGCACAGATTCATCCTGTACTCGGGCTGTTCCTGCCAAGCCCTGGTTTTCTGCATGGTAAGAGCCAGGGGTCACCGTCCCCTTAGGATATGTCCCTGCAAGAGCACCTCAGGGTTTTGGGGCGTAGTATTGACACTGTCCATTCCCAGGCCCCTCATCAAGTCTCAAGCAAATGACTTATCTGAAGTCTCTCTATGGAGTTTTGGCCCATCCCTTTCCTTGTTCCAAAACCAAAGAGTCTCATACTTCCCAGTAGCGCAGACTTCATTGAAAACCTGCTGAAATTGCTCTGGTTTTGTGGTTCCTCAAACTTAGGAGAAGTGCTGCTGAAGGCAGCCTGCCTTGATGACAGCGCAGTCCTTCCTGTCTCTGTATGTCTCCAGCTATTTTCTTCCTCCTTCACAAAACTGCACTGCAACCTTCTTGTGAAACTACTGTGGTTTGGTAGGGCAGTGCAATGGCTTCACCAGAGTCATTAATTCCACACGGATATGAGAAAAGGCTCACTCTTTGTTGTATGGGAAATAACAAAATACTTTTTCCTGGTCTTTTATCCTAAAAATGCATATGAGAAATAACACTGTCAGAGAGGATATTTCTCTGTGCGGTTATTGCAGGTTGGTGCAGCTTGAATAAACACATTTATGATATCAAGACACCTGATATCATACCTGTCTGGAGCTCAGGAGGTTCTTCACAGTGTCACAACCAGCAATAGCAGCAGTGGTGAGAGCTTTTGTGAAAGGTGGTATTGTGATCTGACAGCAGCATAGGTCCCAAGGTATTCATTAAATTGTTCCAGGCACGGGGACAGCCTATGATTATGCTGAATAGGAGCAAATTGTACACTTTGCTTGACTGGCATACAGGAGCTTAATCTGAAAGGCTGCATAGGAGGGCTGAGCTTGTACAGGTACAGCCCAAGAGCACAAACAAGCTCAGCCTCATGGCTGACTTCCTAAAGCCACCAAGTTTCTTTGTGGGCTGGGGTTTCTCCAGCTCCAGTCTTTGCTTGTATCAGAAACAGTGCAGCCAGCAGGAGCAGGAAGATGACCATTCCTCTGTATTCAGCACTGGTGAGGCCACACTGTGAGTACTGTGTTCAGTTTTGGGCCACTCACTATAAGAAAGATATTGAGGCCATGGAGTTTGTCCAGAGAAGGTCAGTGAAGCTGTGAGGGGTCTGGAGCATAAGTACTATGGGGAGCAGCTGAGGAAGATGGGACTGTGCAGTCTGGAGGAGGCTCAGGGGAGACCTTAGCGCTCTCCACCACGCACTGAAAGGAGTTTGTGGTGAGGTGAGGGTTGGTCTCTTCTTCAGGTAACATCAATAGGATGAGGGAATGGCCTTAAGTTGCACCAGGGAAGGTTCAGGCTGGATATTAAGAAAAAATTCTTCTCAGAAGGCGGCGAGGCTTTGGAACAGGCTGCCTAGGAACATAGAGATTCACAGTCCCTGGAGGTGTTCAAGAAAAGAACATTCATTTCACTATTAATACGAACAATCACCTAATCCAAAATTATTGCTGTTATAAACACTCCAAGTGGAGAAATCATTTCATCTATTTGTAAATAGAAATGCGGTTCACAAGTGGATGCAGTAGCTGCAGAATCAAGGTCTGCCAAGAAGAAATCCAGTTTAGCTGATTTGACAGCCCAGTCAGCTTTAAAACAAGCTGTGCTGGTGCAGAAGGCTCAGAGTACTCTTAAAGATTCATAATCTCGATGGAGCCCAGAGGAGGAACCAGTGGTGAGCAGCTGTTTGACATCCAGTAACCTAAAAAGAAATAAATCCAAGGGTTTGGGTTGCTCACAGACATGATCAGTGGTGGGGAATTAGGGAAATTGCAAAAATGCCTTGAGAAGGAATTCCAAGGAACTACAGACAACAGCTTAACAGTGAGAAGGGACCTAGCTTTGGAGAGAAACAAAAGAAGCCAGAATTTGTAGATCACAACTTATAGGTACCTGTTTTTCCAGATAGTCTGAAGAGGGAAGAACGTGGTGCCCAGCCCTGTGCTGGTGTTTGGTAGTATGGCTGTCAGCAGCCATGAATCTGCTGGTGCTGAAGAAGCTGCAGCCTTGCACAGCAGGACTACAGTGAGCAATGATGGAGCGATGCCCATGGCAGCTTGTAGAGACTTACACGAAGTATTATTAAGAAAAGATCAAATTCCTGCTGGAGTCCAGGCTGTGTCAGGCAAACACTGCCTGTTTCTTTCTGCTCTTCTTCTGCAGTGTGACTTTTGCAATGCCTTTTGGTCAACACAGGGAGGTTTATTTGTCATTTTCACTGAAAGTGTGGCCAGATGACCTTGATGACAGTGCCTGTTTTTTTTTGAGAGCACACGCTAAGTGGCTGGGCCAGGATCACCACCAGCAGATCGTTTCCCACAGCCTACTGTGAAGGCAGTAAATACAATAACTGCTCTGTGCCAGCCACGGTAGGCTGATATTATTAGATGTATAATAGATAAATAAATAGTAATTAGTAAATATTAAATAAATTTATAGTAAAAAAATAAAAAGTAAATAGAGGTATATTAGAGGTTATGCTCTGAAGCACAGGAGCACACCAGAAAAACTACAGTTAGAGAAAA